CTTCCTAGAAGGTCCCCCTTTGCCCCCTCTGTGTACAGACTCTTTGAAACAGTCACCATGTACTGTGCATACGGGGAGAGTGGGGACCCTTGAGGCTCTTAAAGTGCTGAAAAGGTGTGCAAGTGTCTCTGAAGGGCGGTGTGAGCGGTGACTCGGCTGAGTTGGGAAGAGTAGCAAACCAAACTAGACTCCACACCCCAAACAAACAGAAAACAAAATTTGTGCTTTTAAAATTATGTTAATGTTTTATTTCTCAAAAAAGTGCCCTATAAAATTGCTATGAGAAGAAAATGTCCTTTAAGCTCTGTAATATGATGACTAAAAATACCTTCTGCCAGAGGAGGGCTCAGAGCTTTGTTGATCTACCAGAAGCCACTGGCCCTTATCTGTACCACGGGGCTTTGGAAAGCCATTGTTGCAGCCACAGAAGAAAGCTTAGAATTATTCTCCATGTTTTTATTAATTGAGAAGTGATAGGAGGTTGCATTCAGAAAGGCAGTGTGCCTCGATAGTTAACACAGGACAGTTACAGTCCTGGTGAGCTTTCCCAGCCTGGCCTCAAGTGGCTGACTCCATTACTGATTTTGCTACCTCCCTCTAGTGGTCAGTTTTATTTTTAATGTTTTCATTTTTTGTTCTTTTTATTAAAAATAGATTCTTCTCTCATACAGTATATCCTGATCATAGTTTCCCCTCCCTCTGCTCCTCCCAACTCCTCCCTACCTTCTCTCCCCTCTGGACCCACTTCCTTTCTGTCTCTCATTAGAAAAGAAGAGGCTTCTGAGAGACAACAACCGAACATGACAAAATAAATATATATAAGAAGATAACCTATCTTATCAAAGTTGGGCATGGCACCCCAACAGGAGGAAAAGAGTCCCAAGAGCAGGCACCAGAATCAGAGACCTACTTGTTCTCACAGTCAAGGGACCCATAAAAATACTAAGCTAAAAGCTTGCAGACAAATCCAACAGTTGACAACAAAATTTTAGGCTATCCTTATGGTAGTCTTTTTAGAAATTAAATTAAATGTTAAAATGTATAGTGATCAAATTTTAGGTAAGCTTTTATTTCTGGTGAGAGAGAAATTGCTTTTTAAATGAGAAAGTGTCTAAATTTTCCTTTATTTATTTTGTGTGAGTGGTGTGGAAGGTTGAGGGGTGGGGTACATGTGAAGGTCATGTGGGAACCCGATTTGACTGCTTACAGTGTGTATGGCTGCTATAGGAACAAGTGCACATTCTAGAGAGGCCTGAGAGCCACACAGCCTTGCAAGGTTGAATAGTGCAGACCTTGTTTGCTATTGCTTTGCAGATAAGGTTTTATCTGTCATCAAAGAAATGACCTTTTTCTAAAAATATGGCCCCTCCCCTAACAGTTTGCTGTTTCTGGATATTCTCAGAGAATTGAAATAGTTTACCAGATTTTGAGAAGAGCTTTTTAAGGTTTCCTTCTGGAAATGCTGGGCAGTTTTTTCAGGTCACAATCTCATCTCCCCTCTCTGTCGGTACTAGGGTTCACACTTAGGACCTTCAGCATACAACCACTCCACCGCTGAGCATGCACGCCCTGCCTTCATCCTTCACACGAGTAACAGTGTTTGTCTAGACCTGCAGTTTTGCTCCTTTGCAACCCGTAGGGCCTGGATTTAAAGAAAGACAGCTCATCCAGTGTGAAATCTTTGAGTTGCCCTGAGCAACAGAAATAGGGGGGCTTCTCTTGGAGCAGCAGTGCAATTATGACTGACTGATTCTTTTTTGCGCTCAGTACCATGTAGATTCTGAGGGTAGGCTAATGCCTGCTTTTCTGAGTAGTTCGTGAAGTGACACTGTGCGTGTTTCGCCCTCAGCTCCACCTGATCCACTGGAACTCCACGCTCTTTGGCAGCATCGACGAGGCAGTTGGGAAGCCGCACGGCATTGCCATCATTGCTCTGTTCGTCCAGGTGAGAATCGTTTGCTGTGCAGTGACGTTGTTTAGCAATGCTTTCTCTAAGTCATTTTGTCAAATATTATTTCAATTCGCAATTTTGTTACTTGGAGGTCAAATGAAACACAAATAAACACTGATATAATAATAGTTCACGAGATTCAAGCTGTATTTCTTGTATAAAATAGTTCACTTTTTATCAGACATATCCTTCAGAGTGGTATCTGGGGTCTTTGGAAAAACAACTTAGAAAATGTTTCCTGAAGTCAGACTTCATTTTATTTAGGAAAAAAAAATTTTAGACCTGGGCTTACTAAAAATATCTAAGAAAAATCAATAATAAAATTATGTAATGAATCACCTTGTCTTTTTGTTATTAATAATTTTCACTTAAAGATGACTTGAAATGCTTTATAGAAAACAATGATAAAAGTAAGACTGGCAAAGACCATGGCAGTCTTAACTAGTCTAAAATGGGCATTGAGCTCTGTGATGGCAGAGAATGTTATATAGTTTATCAGACACATAAAATGGACCCATGTGCTGTAAAGTAGAAATTTAAAAGATATCCTATGGTGAGTTTTAAACTTCATCCTCAGCTACATGATATGATAAAAGACTTATAGAGGTGAAAGGGTCCTTGGGAATTTTAGCAGCCCCTAGGTCTCAGAAGAGTGTCTGAGGCCCATGGACAGAATTAAAAGTAATTCTTGCAATTTAAATTGAAATTCTTTTCCTGCTCTTTACTTCATGATTACATAGGCACAGAGCTATTTCCTTTAGCTCTGCAACTATTATATAGGTAGAAAGGAATTACAAATTATTGGCAGAATGCTTTTGACTTTTAGCATATAGAAGAATTAATTTATTTAAAAAGACCCTTTTCTGTGGCCTGGAAAAGTGAGTGGAATATCAAGCTGATGAAGTTGAGGCAGTGGAGGGCATTATGTCGTCATTTAGGAGTGAGAGTAAGGATGGCAAGCGTAGGGACACAAGTCATCGTGCGGGGAGATGGGAGGGTGAGTTCATGGTCAGACTTGGTACACAGTGGCTTTGAGAACTGAATTAGGTATGACCGTTTAATGTTTCTACTGTCTGATCCTCCGAGTGTAAAGGTCTGCGGACTAAGGGGACCTGGGTTGCAAACCTAGCCTCCTGGGACTAGCCCCTGTGTTTCCAGGAATAAATTTGTGGTCATGGAAAGCCCCAGAATGTGTACAGATGCTCTTGCCTCCATGTGTTTGCTATGAGGAAAGCCTCAGGTGGCTGTGTACAAATGTTTTTCTCAGGAAGAAGTCGCAAAACCTGTGAGAGTGAAATCTCACCCAGTAAGGAGTGGCTGGTGAATGCCAGGGGATGCAGAGAAGAAAGGGGCTGAGTCTCCCCATCCCAGGCTGGTGCCCTGGCCACAGCAATGGAAGGCCACAGCAATGGAAGGCCACAGCAATGGAAGGCCAGAGGAGGAGGGTGCTGAGTGCGGACTTGTTTCTACAAGCTTGACTCGAATGAGAAAGGGGCAAAGGAGCAAAATCTAGTGGCAGATTTGAAATCTGAGGACTTGTGCTTTGCTTCTGAGCAAGATGAGCTAGTGCAGACGCAGTTTAAAAAATATACAGGGAAGAGACTGGCTGGCTAATGCAGAGGCATCTTACAGGGGAAGAGAGGGTATGAGGCCGGGACATCTGCTCAGCTACCTGGATATAGGCCTCCTACAGAGCAGCCACTCTCCTCAGGTGAAGAGAGGGCAGGGAGTTAGGGACAGTCATGTTGGGCGCCTGCCATTCTTCTGAGACACACAAAGCATGTTACAGAGTAAGAGGGATATGAACGCAGGGTTTGGCTTTGGAGCAGCCAGGCCAGAGATTTAATAGACATTCTATGAGGCAAACCCACCGAGGGCTGGACAGCATGGATTAGGTGAAACAGCACCTGAGGGATTATTCTCCATCCACATAGGAGCAAAGACCATTCTTGCAAATTGTTGTGATGATCAACTGAAGAGCAGGTGATTTCGGAGGATAAAGGGATGGAAGAACTCAGTGGTAGAAAAGATGTCATTCAGTTTAATGAGAAGGGATGAATCAAGGGGCTGAGTTGGCTGCCAACAGTCAGTAAAAGGAGAGAACAGAGGACAGGGGCCTGGGCGGATGTATAAGCTTGATCAGAAAGAGGGGGAGTTGAAAATTTCAAAATAGCAGGAAGGAGGAATAGAAGTTTAAAAAGCAGTCAAGTCATGGCGCTAACGTGCGGCCGTGTCAGAGGTGGGGGCTGAGCCGGTCAGTGCAGTGTGAGCTCACGTCTGGACCCCATATTGTATGGCCTCACATTGTTCTGATGTGGACGACTCTCAGTGCTTATGGTCCGACAGGAGATTCATGAAGGGAAAATTGACCCAAACCAGACAGTCCTGCCTCCAAGAGCTGTCTTCTGGTGAAACCATGAAAGTGAGGAGGGTCCCTTTCTCCTGAAGACCAGGGAAGGCTTCTGGCTGAGATGTTGGCTTTTGTATTCATGCATATATTTACAAAGGATGCTTTTTAAACCTTAGAATTTTATTTTCTGTTTTTAGAGCCCATTTTAGGAAGTTTTTTATTACATTGAACTGACTGGCCATTCTTAGTTCATTGTTTCTTTCTTTTGCACATTTCACAGTTAACATGAGGAGAAACAAAGGTGTGTGTGTTGACAGCTACCCTAGCTTCTCCCAGGTCATTCTGCAGACGTCTATATACATAGAAAAAGCCTAGTGTAGTGGTGCCTGTCTAGCTGAGATAATCCTGGGCTCTACTCTCTCTTCCTCTCCAATGTTAGGGTCCACTGGAAGCAGGCTGAAAGTAGCAATGAGGTGGCACTAAACATTTATAAAAGACAAGAACACTAAGTGCCAGAAAACGTATTTCAAGTATCAGTGTTTTTGAGCATTACTTTAAATATATTACATATTTATACATAATATATAATACATATGTAACATGTTAATATATAATTATATGTTACATCTCATTATAATATATGTTATATATCGATATAAGTATATAGATATTTGAAGTAGAAATATATATATTTAAAGTAGAAATCTTTGAAAAACAGTTGTATCTTACTAAGAATGAAGAAAAGGTTATTGACTAGTGATCAGCAGTAATCCAGAGATATTTTAATTTTGATAACTTTGACATATGAAACATTATATGCACCTCTGAGTTAATGAAAAATTTCAACTTGTTGAAATATTTATGACATTGCTCTCTAAATGTCAAAGGCAAGAATACAAGGCAAAATATGTAAATAAATAAAAATGAGAAATCTGGGCATGTTGGTGTATGTCTTGAATCCTAGCACCCAGGAGACAGAGGCAGATACAGGCTAATGTCTGAGGCCAGCCTGGACTATATACCAAGTTTCAAGCCAGGGCTGGTTAGAGAGAACCTGTCTTAAACAAACAAACAAACAAACAAACAAACAAACAGAAAACAGGCAAGAGTTTAGACACATATTATATCACTTTACTCCAGAACTACTTATGACTCTTTTCTATAGCAAACTTTTATGATTCTATATAATACATATGACACAATGAGTAATAAATATCTGTAGCAAGATGAGTTTGGATAGATTCTCTGGTATTATATTGCACAAGCTTTTACAATTTTAATTACCTTTAGTTTTTGACCTGACCATAAATAGAAAGGTTATTAGTTCCCAAGAAGGCCATTCAGGTGGATTGGAGTCTTGTTTCTGGAAGTTACTTTGGATAAAAGCTAAGCATTAAAAAGTGTATTTGTGATTTATGCTTTTTCAATATTTTTCACATTTGTGCTTTCACAAATATTTTTGAAATATTTGTGTATTTCAGATAGGGAAGGAGCATGTTGGCTTGAAGGCAGTGACTGAGATACTCCAGGATATCCAGTATAAGGTAAGTCATTATTTAAAAGAACTTCAATATGAGTTCCCAGCGACCCTCTCTAGGCTTGATAATTCTCTAGAAGGGACTTATAGGACTCTGAATAGTTGCTAGAGTTAACAGTTGAGGTTTAATTCAATGTGATACTGGGAAAGGGGCACAGATTGAGTCTAGGGGGACTTGGAGCAAGTCCCCTGATGCTTCTCCTGGGCTCCCAGTATTCCTAACATGATGCGAGCTAGGGGAGCTCTCATGACCCTTGATGGCTAGGGATTCTTTTCAGGGACTGGTCCATTAAGCCTGAGTTGCCTTGTTAATTTCCCCTGGCATCTTAAACCCTGCTGTTGTTTCTCTCACTGAGCCCAAGAAGGCATCCTTGTATTTCCGGGATTAACACACCAGCTCACATTGGTGTGGAGCTCCCAGGGCCAGACCCAAGGGCCAGATTGAAAACTCCAGATGGTCACCTTAAATATGGCATGGCCTAAGGCTTCAGGTATAGGAAAAGATCTTACCAAGGGTGGGGGTACTCCAAAGGCTCAGAGACCATCCCCCCAAAAGGCAACCAAAGGCTCGTCCTGAACTTAGGATGTGGAGGCTTTGAGCGGCCCGGCCCTGCTGAGTTCCGGAGGTGAGGAATGGACTTCCTCTGATAACTTTTCCCATGGCATCTGTTTTAGTAAAAATATTCCTGTGGGGCCATTAGGCCCCAGTTGTACACTCTATGCCAGACATTATAGGAGGAATTTAAATTCAAAAGCAAACAGCCATAGACTCAGAGCAGGTGTATTTTGTTAGATCCAACTGATCTCACTCCAATGAGAAAAGAGTGGTCTACTGACGAATATTAGGACTTGGCAAGACCATCACAAAAGACTTGAAAGTAAACCCTTAGTTTTAATACTTTTTGCTAAAAAATTACAAATTTTACATTAGCATGTTCTGAACTTCTTTTCCTTTTTCAGGGAAAGTCCAAAACAATACCCTGCTTTAATCCTAACACTTTGTTACCAGGTAAGCATGTGTCTGGTGCCCTGAAATGGACTTGAACTGGGTGTGTCGCCACACTATTTTCCTCAGAGTGTTCATAATCACACATTACTAATTAATAAAGTTGCTTTGCAATTTCTGTTCTCCACAGCAGGTACAAGTTCCAGATCATGTTGATAAGGCAGGAAACCTTTTGAATGTTAGGAAACCCTTGCTACTGCTTCCATATTCCAGGAAGAACATTCTCAATGACATCATTTGTAAAATGTAAAATTGTTGACTCAGTATAAAGTACCCGCAACTATCAAATCACAGTGCTAAGACTATCAGATCATTTTTAGAATGAAATAAACTTTATATCTAATTTTATTAGGTCACTTTCTTACAGCATCACGATTTAAATATTCTAATTGTATGCATGGGTGATAATTACACATAAAACACTCTGAATACACCTTGGAGTTCAAGGCGTTTTTTAATATAAAAAAAACGGTCTCCACGTTTCTCTGCTTGAATTGTGTGCTGTCCCATAGTGTCTCAGACAAAACCGAGGAGATTGGTCCGTTGTGTCTTCTTCTTACACTCAACTGCTCTGTCACAAACCAGTTTCCCTCATATATTGAGCCCTTCCTTCGGAGTATTTAATTCTGAATTCCTCTAAGGCAGTGCTGAGGAGTTCAAATCTGTGACTTCTTTTTTCTTATTTGGATTTTAGAAATGTGCTGCTGAAGTAGTGATGTAAAGATAGTTCAAACAGATGTTTAAAATCACAGTCTTTGAAAGCAGACTGCTTGGGTTCAAATCCTCTGCCAGTTTTGTGTGATCTTGGACAAATTATTCACATTCTGTAACTTACTTTCCCTTTATAAAATGGACTAATGTGACTCATTTCTTTGTTGTGACGATTCAATAAATTGATTTATACTACTCTAAATATTATTTGACATAGTTCAATAGATATCAGGTGTGAATCAATTAATATAAGAAATGGGTAGTAGTTTCCTAAATGTATTAAGCTTGATAGATATAAGCCACTGATAGAAATCTCTGTAAATATAGAGGGAATTAATGTTTTCTTTATAAATGGTAGTTTAAGAATTCACATAGAAGGCTCTGGCTTAAAAATGTCATCCATCTGAGAAGTGACAGACTGCCATTTTGGAAGTCATTGCTGGAGTCTTAAGGCCATCAACGTTCCCGTTCATAACATGTCCATGTGTTTGCACAGACCCTCTTCTGCGGGATTACTGGGTCTACGAAGGCTCCCTTACTATCCCACCTTGCAGTGAAGGAGTTACCTGGATATTATTCCGATACCCTCTAACTATTTCCCAGTTGCAGGTGAGTATGTACCTTTGAATCTTTCAGAGTGAAGTCCTGAGGTCAAATATTCTTTCTGAAAATGGAAAATATCTATTTTATGCTTTTGTTCCGGTTAGATCAGTCATAACTTTCAGATGAAAGTTGACTGTCATGAGCCAGGGAAAGCAATGGAAAGGTCAAGGATGGACAAAACCAAGGCTCATTTGTGATCTGTGTTTTAAAAGTTAGTTTTTATAGAGTGAATAGAAATCACTGTGAAATAGCCAAACTTTTGATTAGTCTGTCCATTCCTCTATATGGATTTTTCCAGGTGTGGGAAAGAGATGGTTCTGGAAATAGAGTGAGACTGCTGATTATTTCATAGGCGTGTGATAGCTCTTTCTCAGTGTTCAAAACACTGCGATGTGTTAGGGTGTGCAAGAGAGCCAGAAAGAAAGTCCTGGGATATTCTGGATGGCTCCCTGACTTTACTCTTGCTATCTCAGGCTCTATATAGATTCTCTAAATGCTAAGGAAAGCCATCTGTGGGGACTCACATCCACAGGGAAGCTAAGGTGGTAGTGTCATCTCAGGATAGGAGTTTAAGACTCAGTAGCAACATGCACTCTACAAAAGAAGAAAAAAAAGACCAATGCTAATCCACAGGGAGCAGAGACACTCCAGTAAGTTTTGGCTGGATGTTAGCTGGGAAACCATGAGTCAGTACCTCTAGGATGTGCTTGCTGATTTTGAAGGGGCTGGCTGGGGTTATAGCTCTGGATATAAGCATTATATTCTCAAAAGCTGTCTTTTCCCTTCATCACCAAACCCCAAACGCTTAAGAAATAGAACACATCAAGTTTTCTTCAGTAAAGTTTTATGATTTCTTTATCTCTCATCATTTCTTGAAGCTAAGAGGCTCAAGTTTACTAACTTCTAGATTGATTCTTTTGCTAGCATTATTTTTATTTTAAAAATATTAATTTTTTGAGATTATAATTATATAATTCCCTCCCTCCATACCCTCCCATGTACCCCCCCACTTTCAAGTTTTTGGCCTCTTTTTTCATTATATTGTTACATAAGTGTACATATATATATGTAAATACATATATATTCATAAATACATAAACACAACCTGCTTAGTCTTCATAATGTTACTTGTGTGTGCTTCTCCAGGGCTGACCATTTGGTGTTGGATAACCAGTTGGTGTGCTGTTTCCTGGAGAAGACCGTTTCTTCCACTCTAAGCACCCCTTGTTTTAGCGTTAATTCTTTGAAATATTATACTTAGCATTTTCAATTTCTGCTTGTCTAGGGAACACTTTAAAGTTCCCTTTCTTCTTGTTCTCCATGCCTTCCCCTGTTTTTGAATTTTTAGCACATCCTCTTCACTTATTTTCCATAAGACAAATCCTAATTCCATTCTTCTTCTTCTTCTTCATCTGTTCGTTCCTATGAGAAACTGTGTCTGAGTGTTATGGGGCACAGTGGATACAGAATTGAAACGCACCCTCCACTCTCGGAAGTGTTGCCCTCATCTGGGAAGGAAAAGGACTGTACAGGTGGTGGCAGTTGTGGTAATGTGTCCCAGAGCGTCAGGCTAGAAGGCCTGAGGAATGACTTCAGAAAGCAGAGGTTTGTTAGGCGGGAGTGAAGAAGTTAGAAAATTTGCTCTAAATATTAAAGAGAGAGCCTTGGGCTAGTGGCGTCTAATTTAGAGATTTAACAGTAAGTTGGCAGCTTCTGTAATAGATAAACCTCCAGTTTTGTTGACCTAGAGTAAATAACTGTTTTATATGGGTTTGTTTAACCTCAATGTATTGGAGATTTATGATCTACCTGAGATGGCATAGAGGTTCCCTCACCAGCCTGTTCTGGGCACGTGAAAGCTGAGTGCCATTGTGAACATTTCCAGGTGCGCCATAGACATGATATACCGTTTCACTGTCCAAGTACGCTCTAAGATGCAGTGCGAAGCTACTGCTTTGTAGCTCTCTCTGGTTTCAAAGGGAACCTGGCTTTGTGTTATTCCTCTGATAAGGCCAAAGGTCAAGGCTAACCCTATTCACCAAGTCACACAGGGAGATAAACTGTGCCAACAACATGTGTGTTTGGAGGAAATGTCTCCTCTTCCCTTGAGAATGGCTAAAGGTTTAGGTATTTTTAGCACAGAGTACTGTGACATCTCCTGAGAGGGAAGCAGTGTGTCTTAAGTTAGGTTTTTCCATTGTTGTAAAGAGATACCATGACCATGGCAACTCTTATAAATGAAAACATTTAATTGGGGTGACTTACAGTTCAGAAGTTCAGCCCATTATCATTATGGTGGGATATGGCAGTATGCAGACAGATGTGGTGCTGGAGAAGTAGCTGAGAGTTCTATATCTTGTAAGCAACAGGAAGTGAACTGTCTCACTGGGAGTAGCTGGAGCATAGGAGACCTCAAAGCCCACTCCCACGGTGACACACTTCCTCCAACAACCATCACACAGTATAAATACAGACTCACATAGATATGTCATGTGTTTGTGTCTATGAAAATACACTTTAGAGTGGTTTACTAAAATACGATCTTAGGAGAGGTCTGTTTTTGACTTGAAGATTTCACTCGCTGCTTCTCATAGAATTTCAAAGAAAGTAAAGTTAAATAAGAGAGGTCCTGAGAGGGTAGTAAAAATTCAAAGTCCAAAGAAAGAGTATATAGCCATGAAAAATCAAGATGTGCATTATTAAAGGAGAGAGGAAGGAGGGAGGAGTCAGGGAGGAAGGGAAAGAAGTGCTCATACATGAAACACCAGTAAGAGGTAAAGAGCAGGCAGACTCTCACGCTGCACAATTGGGAAGAACAGAAGCTGCATCCTACCTCAAGCGGTCAGTGTTTATAACCGAGCTGCTGTCCAGCCTCATGCAAGCTGCTGGTGCCTCCTCTTCACTAGCAACACCGAGAAAAGTGTGCTAAATCACACTGCTCTCATAGTTGACAGCAGCTTGCAGAGAAACAGGGTGGACTGGAAGCCTCTGTGGAGGTGACTTTTTCATAAGATTCCTGGTTGATGTACTGTATGTGGGAGTGAAAAAGATGATTGGGCAGATTTAAATGAGAGTTATTTTCTTCTTTTTAAGATCTATAGCCATTAAATAAATTTAAGATAAGAAGTGCTGTAATTAGTAGAAATCCTGGAACAACAACAAACATTTTTTTTACCTGAATTTTTGTTTAGAAATGAGATTTACAAAACAGAATAAGAATGCCAAACATCATCAAATATGATAGAAATGTTAAGATATCTCCTATTTTGACGGTCATTGAAGTGGAGACAGAACCATCTAGCATTGCTAGAATATGCTGATGGAATAGTGGCCATACAGCAAGAGATGTGAACATACATCAAGAGAAGTGGGTTGGTTGGTCGCTGCTGCTCTCTTCTTACCCCACCCTGCCTTTTCTGCCTGTCCTCCCCTCCTATCTATTTACATTTCTTAGCTTATCTCTATTCTCGTATTACCTGTCTCTTGTTCTTCCTTTCCCTTTCAGCCGAAAACAGTGCCACTGAGCAAAGGGGGATGGCTACATTTTCATCTCAGTCTTGCCTTCTCTCTATCCCTTTTCTGTCTTACATAAGAACAGACCCAGCGCTGACAGCCTGAGTTAGATCTAGCATGAGGTGTATGTGGTCTTTAGGATCTAGGTTATGTCTGTTTTGGATGCTGGGTATCAAGCCCAGGGCTGCTGAGCATATGCTCTTCCCTAGGCTGCACCTGTTGTTATGGACAGATGAGGAAATCTGGTAAGCTAGGGACACAGCTGGCTGCCTGGAGGGTCTTATTGCTCCAAATGGAAATGAAAGGCTGTTGCCCTGAAGACCTGGTCCACACCATGGCCATGCACGAAAATGATTCAACTGATTTGAAATGTTAGTTGTAACTTTTCATCTATGTCCTTAGCTGTGGTGATTTGAATGAGGATGGCCCCTATAGATTTATGTGTTTAAAAACTTGGCCCCCAGTTGATGAAACTGTTTGGGAGGGATTAGGAGGTTTGGCCTTGTTAGAGGAGATGTGTCACTGGGGATGGGCTTTGAGGTTTCAAAAGTCAACACCATTTTCTGTTAGTTCTATTTGCCTTCCACTTACAGATCATTATGTGAGCTCTCAGCTGATGTTCCAGTGCCAGCCCATTCCTTACTGCTGCCATGCTCACCTCCATGATGGTCATGGACTCTAACCCTCTGGAACTATGAGCCTCAATTAAATGCTTTCTAAGTTGCTTTGGTCATGGCACTTTGTTATAGCAATATAAAGTAACTAACACAGAGGCTGGTTCAGAGAATGGGCTCACGCTCTGATAGACCTGACTACATTATTCGTTCGAGTAATGTAGAAGACTTTGGGACTTTGGACTAGGAAAGTGGTTGAAATCTATAAGCAGAGCTTAATGGGCCATGCTAGTATGAGCTTAGAAGAAAATAGTACAATGTGGGCTATGGAGGCCCAGCTCCAGAGGTTTCAGTTTGGAACAATATTAACAACTGGGCTAGAGACCATTCTTGTCATATTTTGGCAAAGAATGTGGCTGCCCATGTCTAAATGGAGGGAAAAAACAAAACAAAACAAACTAACATGGCTATGATTTTAATTTGTCACTTCCAAAATGTAGGTGTTGACAATGTGATAGTACTGAAGAGTGGGGTCTACCATGAAGGTTTCTTCCTTGTTTATAGGATAAAGATGTAAGAAGAGTGTTTGGACTGGTTTTGTTGGCAACAGAGGTTTTAAGACAAGCTAATATTTACTGTCCCAATATTAACTCTGTTAGTAGTTATTACTCACAACACTTAGGCAGATACAAAAAAAAAGGACAAGCAGGATGAAAAGAAATACAAAGTATACAGTTTGAGGAGAAAAAGAGCACCAGGAAATTTTTTGCTGAAGGAGATAAGGAGGGTCCTGATGCAGAATGGAATAAAGGGAGCAGTGGCCTTAGGGAAAAACTCCATGCAGCCAAAGAATATTCTCCACCTAAAAAGGAAAACAAA